CCCCCCCCCCCCCCCCCCAGTTCGTAAAAGTCCACCAAAACATTACGTAGCAATATTAATGTATACCACGTTACTGCTGCACATCAGTTATTCAAATGAGTTGCCAAAAAGGACAGATAGAGAGCAGAAAATACCCATTCAAATACAGGTATCATTATTCAGGAAACAGGAAACAATGCCTTTTGGTATTTCTTTAAAAAATGATATATTAAAAGAATATGGTACTGTTTGGTTGTGCATTGGCAAAAAATTGACTTCAATGCATAGACTTATGTATGCCAGATTTATATTGAATACTCTCTTAAAATAATAAAAAGATATACATATTTTCATATGTTTTCATAAAATTACATATGAAGCAATTTCTTTTTCAGCTTGGAAAAAGAGTAACTAACATATAATAAAGGACTTTTACTGTTTTTTTTTCAAAGGTAAATATTACTCTAGGTATGACAAAAATGATAAAATAAAGCTATTTCTTTTTCTCCAAATACAACCTGCTAAGAAATACTATAATTTGTAATTCAAATACTTTACATATTAAGTTAAAAAATAAAGACAACAAAAACAGTTACACGAAGCAACACTTACGTCTTATTTCACAGTTCCTCCCTACATAGCCATTAATACAGTCACATCTGTAGTCTGCTACCAGATCATTACAGATTCCACCATTTTGACATGGGTTAGGAGAACAGTCATCTTCATCTAAAATAAACATTAAAAATATTATAAACATTAGGATCTAGATCAAATTTTGACTCAGAGCAGATTGCCAAGGACCAATTCCAAGGTCAAATTTTATCAGCAAGTCAAAATCCCTCATAATGACTGATTAATTTTAATTGTTCTTTTTAATAAAGAATGCTCATATTTATTAACTTAAGTTTAGCTTTTTAGATTTTATTTCTTTTGATTACATTTTAATCAATCTATTAGATGGTTTTAATTATTATCATTTTTAAATACTTAACAGCTGCATGGCTTTAAAAAGAGTATGCAAAAGTAAAAGAAAATGCAAATGCCACTTTTAGAAATAAAAACCTTTGGTTCGACAAAGTTTTGTATATTTTTGGATATATACCTGTTGACTACTGTATAATGAATGCGTACATCAAAATAAGTCTCGAAGTAGTTGGCCAATTTAGTGACATATAATTCTACTCTTCAAAGGTCATATCTCAATCAACCTATACTGGAACATGTTGTAATGGCCATGGATATATTTAATGATTATAACACTGTTCAGGATGAATTATACATCACCTGTCCAATGCAATTATTTTTCATTTGGTCACTCTACCTTTTTCTTTTGATTGGCATAAAAAAAATCATAAAAACAACATCAACTGTCTTTGCATAATGAGATTTTTTTCATAGAAAGGTTTATGAAGTGGAACCTACTTATATCACAATTCTTTCCAATCCACCCATTTTCGCAGGCACATGTGTAGTCGTTGTCACCATCAATGCATGTGCCATGTACGCAGGGATCTGGTATACAGTCATCTATGTCTGATTTTTAAAATAATAAGAAAATAGATTACAGCCATATTTGGCAAAGTTTACAATATTCAGTACGGATTTTGGGACTAAATGTATTTTATTTGTATTAATACCTCAGGTAGAGTTTTGATTTAATTATCAATATAAACATTTTGAATGCATGTTTTACAGTAGATAATGAAATTCTTGTGATGATCCAACAATCTGCATGCCAAATGATATTGCTACATAAGCTGGGGTAGCGCTAACACTCACCAATTTAGCCAAATGCTAAAACTGTCTTAAACTGGCTAAAGAAAAAGGGCTTGATTTGACATGTTTTAGCCAAATTATAACCATTTTGATAACAAATTGACAAAAATGTGGTGATTTGGCTAGGTGAAAAAAATTGCTAGCGCTACCCAGCATAAGGTCCACATAAAAATGCGAAAAGTTTCTGGGTTGATTTACAATGCAGTGCCCAGTTGAAGGGGGACACCCTCATACTTTTGTAAGTAACTACTAAAACCTAGTATTACCAATACAAATGATTAATGAGAAATTGATTGTACATTTTTCATAAATTTTATGTACCCTTTCCACAATATCCAAGATGATGTGCATAATAGTAAATACATAGTCAACATTTCTGGGGTGTAGAATTGTCATTGTTGGTTTTAAAATTCACAACACTGCAGCTCCCCTGAAATATTATTGTACACAGATATGTCCTCTAAGTCAACCTTTATGCTGAATTCCCTGTTACAAGTGACACAAAACTAAACACATGCACTTACTTGTTTCACAGTCCTGTCCAGTAAATCCTTCATCACATGTGCAAACATACCCGGCACCAACTTGAGAACAATTACCCCGGTTACTGCATGTTATGTTTTCACACTCGTTGATGTCTAGAATGATTTTAAATTAGAAAATTATTGCTAGTCATTGGCTCTTGGTGAGTGAGAAAAAATTCATATTTGTCAAAGCACCTGTGCATGGACAGCTTAATTTTTAAGTATGACTACCCCCCCCCCCCCCCCCATGAGTTTTCAAATGTAAAAGACAATATTTAAAATCGATTTTTAGAAGCTTAAATTTTCAAATTAGCCAACTTTGCTCTGTAATATGTTGAACTTATCTACAGTACAATTTTTTTTAAATTTCAAATTGGCCAACCTTGCTTAATTTGTACCCAGTGTAATGTTAACTTCCTCTGTAATGATTCTACTTCTACAATGTTTAACTTACCTACGGTACAAAATTCTCCTCCTGGAGGTTTTGTCCAGCCGGGTTGGCACTGACAAACCCAATCTCCAACAAGGTTATTACAAACACCATTGGGCTCACACAGCTCCTGTGGGGTTTTGCCATCTCGATATACAACTTTGCATAGATTAACCTCTGAAACACAATAAGGTTCTTGGTATAAAAAAATGGTACACAGCGAACATCAATCTTTGGATATGAGCACTGAAAAAAGTCCTATCGGTTTTGAAAAGTTCAAACTCCAAACAAAGCATTTAAAATTTAAATATAACTGGAAAACACCCTTTTAAAGTCATTAAAAATAATCTAATTCCAAAAAAAAATTACATTCAAGCATGATGAACCTGCATTAACAACATATAAAGCCACTCTAAAAAATTCAAGTAAGACAATAATATAGAGGGGCTACATGTAACATCCCCAAAATACATGTTATCTCCTCTGCTCCCCCCCAAAAAAAACATTATTCATATACCAATGACACAGTTGGTCCTGTCTTTTGATGACTAACTAAAAAAAATATAACTTTGTTACTTTCCTTACCTTCACAATGAATACCATCTCCAGTAAACCCATGCATGCAGGCACAGGTAAGCTGTTTCCCTGTCACAGTGCACTCTGCATTTATATCACACGTGCCTCCCTCTTTAGTAAGCATGCCAGGCCACGTCCATTCTAAGTCAATAATAGGAGGGATGCTAAGTCTGCCATGACACTTCCAACGATCCTCACATCCATCTGAAAAGTATTCTGTGTTTTTCTGCAAAAAATTGAAATATGAAGAGATTTAGGATGGGTTAGATTATTTTCTTGATAATATTGGTAAATCATATACATGTAATTATATCTATCTATCTAAATAAAGATGTTTTACACAGCATTCCATTCATATTTAGAAAAAATGTACACGCATATTTTTAATCACATCTACTTACAACATGACAACATCTACAAGTGCTAAATTTATAATCTACATGTATTACGTACAGTCTAATCTTAAAGGGATAACAACTGTTCATTTTGGCAAAAAAAAAAAAAAAAAAAGAATTTTCCTGGAGTAAACAGCAAATTTCCCATACTTACCAATCGTTAATGAATTCATTTCTACAATCAAAGTTAGTCTCTGTTTTTTTTTCTAAAAAGTTTGTCTTTTTGTAATAATGTATTAAGAAATTATTACAGAGTATAGCCATCTATGGAGGTCATGTGGTCACATGGCAAGCACAGATTTCATATTTATTGCCATAACTGCTTTTTTTGTGGTAAAATGGAATATATTATATTTCTATGAGCTGTTTTCAATGTATTTATTGTAAAATATAGATCTCATACGAAGAGTTGTTATCCCTTTAACTAAAAATATAAACTCACATAATTATTTTGGCCCTCTTGGGCTAACCCAGCAATGCAGGATTTGCGAATGAAAACAAACTACCTAGTCTTGGAATGCTAATTTAAATATACAAATGTAGTGCAGACCACTAACTGTCCTGACTATCCTCAGACACTTTATACCAAGCATTTTTATTTTTAATGCTTATGTTATTTTTTTCAGGGCCATCTCTGACTTAGAAAAAGTAAACATTTTTTTCAAATTCACCATGTTTTTCAGTGAATTGGTTTCTTTAAAGCCATTTTATTCCTATTCAAAATAAGTTTAAAATTAAGTGAAAAGATACATTTTTTGCTGTGTTTGATAATTATGTCACAGAACTAGTGGCGATAGGGAGTCACCGAGATGGCCCGTTGTATTTACATATTTTATAGCACATATGACTGTTTAAGATGTTATGCTAAAGGGTTAGCCCCACCTCCCAAAGATTCTCGATTGTATTCTAGTTAAGTGTGATGCCACTGTCACAGGTTCAGCAGCGCCATCATTTTATGCTATCTCAAATGTTTTGAAGACAGCTGTCATAAGTCAGTTGTCATTAGTTTTTTTATGGTTAGGTGAAAATGTCAACATTGAAAATATATTGAATATATATATGAGCCTAATCCTTCAGTCATTTGGATATCCTAGCTGATTTGTTAATTTTCCAGACAAAATAGTGCATTGCCAATAAAAGCAGTCTCTCAGTGAAAAAGTCAGTTGTGAAAATCACATACCGCTCTGTAGCTATACAAGTCGTTTGGATCAGCACATCCACAATCGTGATGATTGTTTGATATGTCGATACACGTTTGGTTACTCAACAGAGCATTTCCATCACAGTAACAACCTTCAACATTTGCCTCCGTGCAGGATGATTCGGCGTCTGGCTTGGCACAAGTATTGGGGCATGCTGTCCCAGACACCTTGTACGACTTATTAATACCACAGTCCAAAGCTGAAACAGTCAAATATATGATGGCAATGGAGCGTGTTTTATAATTGCTAACTGCACTTATAGAATATTCATTAAAAAATCTACAGCAATATGCATTCAATATATATTTTACGGGTATTTATATTAAGTTACCCAAAGGAGACAACACAACTTAAGATAAAGTTTTTTGAGACAATTTTCAAATAAGTACACCTGTTGGTCTTACAGGTAGTATAAATATCATGTCCAGTCACGGATTTGCAATAGGACGGCTGTTAGGACCTCTTGTACAGTAGTCTCACGTACATTTTATATAAATAAATATAAAAGAGCATAACAATGACAGACCGGTAGGACAACATGGCAACATAAACAGCTCTGTACGGGTCTGGTAGGTACTGGTAGGCATACGTCTATAGCAGGGGCGGATCCAGAGATATGACCGTCTTCCGACATATAAAATACCCGTCAATGTCAACTTGAAAATCTGACCGTCTTCCGGAAGAACCAGAAGACGGCCTAAATCCGCCCCTGTATAGGTACATTTTGGTGCATAAAGGTACCTATCGGCGTGTAAGTTTATGAATAAATGCATATATACAGTGTACATTAAAACAATTAAACAAGAAAAGAAAAAAATTTGATAAAAACTTACGACAAGACGTCAAAGCCCTGAAGTCCGCCGGCGGTTGAGCACACCTTTTGATAAGCAGTTCGACCATAACGCACTTGGCCTCTCTGGCACTCGGCTCATCACGTAGAGAGTACATTTTACAAGCGTCCTCAACGCAGGCGTCGTAGATTTCACTAATCAGGGCGGGATCCATAGATGCTATACAACCGCCAAGGGGCCCATTAGCGTCCGTTATCACCCCGCACATATCTGCAGCCGAGGCGAAATCTCTCGCTTGGTCGTTCACGCACTGGAAGCCATCAATTGCAAGGCCATGCTCGCAACTACATAATAATAATAATAATAATAATAACAGAATAAATATGTTAAGGTCTAAGTGAAAACATGGGGATTTCATGACAACCACTCGGTTATTCCAGATAATTCAACTTTGAGATTAGGGAAAGGGGTACACAAACCCATTTATTTACCTTTGTTTTTCACTGTCATCGGCGAAATTATCCAACGCATTTGTTCACGCATTTTTTTTCCAGCAAGTTGAAAGTTTTCATTAATCTTATCCCCCCCCCCCACCCACACAGGCACACATATATATATGGACACACCGAACAACATTATAAATAGATCTAAGGCGACATGGAGTCTGTATCTTACCTGAATATTTGCTCGTCGGGCTCGAAGAAAGATGTGATGATTTTGTTCACTCTGTCATCCCCGATCTTGATGAAGCCGTCTTTAGCTTTGTAGTCATCAGCCTTAATGCCGTTGCAATCTCCACAGACTCCACACAAGTTGCCATTGCCAGCATACGTGTTTGGGACCGAAATTATAGCCTTGGCCTCTCCATCAAAATAGATTTCTATACCGTTCGCCGCCTTAGCGCGAACTTTACCATCTGGAAGGTATTCTATACTAATGTCTGCTACCCCATTATTGTGGAGATAGGTTGGCAGGTCTCTTTTTACTCTATTGGCCTGAAAAGTAGAATTTATTTATTAACTTATTTTTTAAACGTTATTTCATGTGAAATGTTAAGTACACGTAATAGTTCACCGAGATAAATTGTCACCGAACACCCCTATATCTTGACAAGTGGTGTCTAAAATATATAAGGCAGAAAATATATAGGCCTAAAGCTTTTTCGTTCAATATCCACCTGTTGTACCCTTGATGAATAAAGTGTTTGAACCTACCAATATTTCAACTCCACCTCCTGCAGCCCTTTGCAGTCTGACAGTGTGGTTACGATACTCTAGATGTACAAACTCTGGGAATGCTGTCTTTGGGTTTGTGTTGAGGCGGTTGAAATGCCTGACGTATACTTTGAAGAATTCTAAACCTGGTTGGGAATTTTCGCAGAGAGTTGAATAACTGTACTTGCAAGTGCCGTGGAAGTTCATGAGAGCACCATCAAACGTCACGATGCTTGGATCCCCATAAATGTGACATTGGCATGCGCTGGAATCTGTGGCATTAAAAGATGAAATTTTAGTGGGCATTTTGGTTGCTTTGAAATTTTTCATATATGTTTTGCAATAAAATACCTGTCTGACCTTTACTTCTCCAGTACATTCATCACTGTGAAACTACAAACAGACCTTAACTCCTCGAATAAGATTCTCGTCAAGATGGTCTTACACAAGTTATTATGCAAAAATAAGCGCTTGTAACAGTGCAAAATATATCAATTATATATAAAATTTTTAGGGAAGTTGAACTCCGTGGATTATGGTTTTGTCATGATAGAGAGAGAGAGAGAGACACGAGAGTGTATGAGAGAAGGAGACCATGTCATTACTACACAATTACTACACAATAACAATGGTTATGTAATAGAACTATAGCAGTTGGATGGTACCTTGACATCGGTCCCCGCTGAAGCCGGGTTTGCAGTCACACACTGCTCCTTGAGGAGTGTTTCTGCAGGTGCCTCCGTTTTGACAAACGACCGAGTCTTGGGTGCAGTAGTCAATAGCTGTTAAAATGGAAATACATTATTTATATTTTTATTTATTTATAGTCAAACATTTATCTCTTTATCTGTTCTTGTATGTAATGGCAAACTTAAATGAAATAATAATGATGATAGCGCCGTGTTTTATTTCAAAGGAATCATAACATATACGCGATAAAGAAAATATTTTCTGGAACTTTAATTGCTTTTCGTGACCTTAATATGGTTGCTTAAAACAAAATATATAACAAGTTTAGAGAAGTGCACATGGTGACTGTCAAAATAATTTATTTAAAATAAATGCATCGATCTTTTTCATCGCGTCATTAGTTTAAAAAATATATACATTGAATCTGAACTTGAATAAGCAATCGAGCAACTTTCAGGCAGAGACTAAGTGTAGCGTGAGATTACATTCCTGGTTTGACTGTGACGACTAACTGCAGTCATTAAAAAAATTTAACTCTTTACTTTTTCTCACAACTATTTTCTTTCAAGATTGATATTATTTTCAGACACTCACAACAAAGCTAAGAAACGTTTTTGAATAAACATTTTATTAATTACTCGAAAGCATGTTTAAAGACTATTTTTCAACTGTTTTTGACTGGGTGTTCCTTAGTGAAAAGGGGAAATATTCTGAATTATACAGAACATTAATTTGTTTGATACATAAAAGTTCAATGCAAAATGTTTCTTTGTCTGAAATCGAAACCTTAAAAAGAAAGGCACACTGATGTCAACTTACGTGTTTCACAGTGAGTGCCGACGTACCCTTGAGGACAATCGCAAACATATGCATTATGTTGACTGATACACGACCCGCCATTTTCACAAATGATGCCAACACAGTTGTCCCTGTTGTAAGGGGGAGGCACTGAAATTATTTTCAGAAAATGCACTTTACCCATTGCTTTAATTTCCAAGCGCATGTTAACGTATAGTACAAATCATAAATCAAAAGCATGTCCTTTTTAACAAACATCATCATGTCAGCTCTTGTGAAGGCTCTTTGACTGAGAGAGAGAGAGAGAGAGAGAGAGAGAGAGAGAGAGGTGGGGGGATGGTTCGTTCGCTCTCTCCTATATTCCATTTTTATTTTTAAAACCTACGACTTGATGGTCTATGATATGCATTTACTCATTTGGAAATTTCAACTTGGAATATATAGTGAGAATTCACTTACCATCATTACAACCTAACACGCCATTTATATCAGCCACGCACTCCTGAGGAGCAACGCAGGCCGGCATTGACGTGGATGAAATGGTGCCGCTGCTACAGGAGTATTTGGTAGTACAATCGCTGCTGAACCACTCTTCGCCGTTCTAAAGTATATATATATATATATATATATATATATATATATATATATATATATATATATTACACAATTAAAAGTGAAAAACAAAGAGGTATATTTTCATATCAAATAATGCAAATTTATGAGAGATTGCTATTACTAGTATATGGCGTAAAACGAATTTTGTTGCAAAAAATAAAGAATCCCGGGTCAATCATGAACATATACGATGTCAAAAGATAGCTATAACTCCATTCAGGAGGTTTATCAAAAGAAACAGTTATAAAGCATTAAATCGTTTACATTTAATGCTTTAGATTAAATAAAAATAATGAAACTATAAAATCAAAAGTTCGACATGCAGCCGTGATATTACAAAAAAATTATAAAACCCATTTAATACAGCGAACCTTGACACTTAAAGGAAATTTCCACTTCGTAACTAAGCTTTGAAAAAAAAAAAGCTAAACTACACGTTAATATGTTAGGTAAATGCAAATATCACCTCATGGTAGCCGACCGCGTCATTACAGCCACAATTGCTTGCATTAGTGCATTGTCCGTCGCTTTCAATTAAATTGCCGTTACAGCTACAGCCTTCCATGTCGGTTACTGGGCATTCCTGTTGGTCAATGGATGAGCAAGATGCCTGGCATGCGTAATCACTGTCTTGGTATGTCTCGCTGGAATCACACACAAGCCCCACGTCCTCTGTCAAAGGCAAATAATGTAAATAGGAATGAAATGGGAATTATTGTTTTACTACATCTTAAAGTAGATCAAAATATATTGATCATATACGGCATATTTCGCAAAAAATGATATATTATGAACTATTAATTGAAACCAATGCTGCAGGCCCTATAATTTACAAATATAGGCCTATTGATGTCTTTAAATTCTTGAATTAATCAAATGAATTCACTTTTCAAATATGACTTAAATATTCAGTATAAGCAACTCGGCAGGACATGTCAATACAATTAGATGCAAACGATGAAAATATAGCGTACCACAGTTGGTGAGCGATCTCCAATACTCGATGTTAGTGCCGTCGTCTGCACAGGCCTTTCTTAATGCTCCAAGAATGCCGCATGCCACTTCATTTCTGTCGGCCGCGTCTGCATGGCAGACATCAGATATACAAATTGCTTTGTACTGGCCGATAATGGCAGGTGAACATCCTATCATCAGATCTGCTTTGGCACATTTCGCTTCTGCATCCTGCTGAGCTGCTGCTTCACAAGCGGCAAGACCGCTACCCGTGTCGGCGACGCAACTTTAAAATGAGAAGAGCAACAGATTCAAAAGTTGTTGGCCTCTTTGCAACCCCACAAATGAAAATATGTGCACTATTTGTTTGGGCCTTTATTATTTATGCTATAACATTACGTAATTTTAATTGATTCAACTAATGCTATATAATAACTTAACAATATTCTTTAACTAGAGGGACCTTTCAATAAAAGTGGCCGTCACCGCCCAAATTTCGAACACCATATTTGTGTTTGTCCTTTACGTAAAATGCTGTAATTGGGATATGCATTTTATGTTTTTTTAAGTAAGCCATACTGTAATTATTTGGCTCACGTTTCGTCTACACGTTTTTATGAATTCAACAGTTGTTAACTCCGCTAAATAAGCGTTCATTTGTATATGAGCAAAATAACTTCACCACACTTATTTTGATGAATTTTTCGGGATAAGTTTTCAGGAGGGAAAACACAATTACAATTTTGACTGAATCCGGATGTCGAAATACTTTTTAAAAATAATCCATTATTGAAATTGTTTGCATTATGCCTTGGCTGATATCTGCGCTCTAAAACTCAGTGTGCTTTTTTAATTACATTTCTTTTCATGTCTTGGTTCTGTATGTGTGAGTGTTTTCTAGCCTAAGAGTGCATTCCCAGAGATTTAGATCGATCCATCTAGATCGACCTAACTCCCTGGGGGTTCACTCTAAATTGCAGTCAGCCGAGCGCGCAACGACAGTTAATTACCCCCTTACAGCTTTTAGTAGGCGGGACAGACGCTTAAGCCGGCTTAGCTGACAGTAATCTAGTGAGACTCCCCACAGGAATAGATCGATCTAAAATCTGTAGGAATGGGGTCTTAGATACAATGTATACGTACTCAGCTGGACCGCCCACTTTCCAACTGTTCCCGATGGCGGCATCTCTCTGTGGTTTTGGCAGCGCCGGATCCGGAAGCTGGCCATCGCTCATGACAACCGGTAGGGCGTGCACACTGCACTTTCCGCACAATCCGCAGGTCTTCTCGTAGTAGCTTGGTGGTAGTTCGATTTCTCCGAAATTATCACCGTCGTACCTGATTTTCACCATTGTGCTGGTGATTACTTGAATGTCATTATTGGCCAAACGGACAATATAGATGTGATCTGAGCCCACAGTAACAAAGTGCGGCAGGGAGTTGATGAGAACGCCATCTACCTGTCAACAGTCCATAATTTTCAGTTAATGAAATGTGTACAAAAAGCATAGCTCCTGGTACGGTCAATATCGATTTCTTAATGGTGTATAAAATGTATAAAAAGTATAAAAAAGTGCAATTTTGAGAATGAAATATGAAAATATCTCCTTTAAGTCCTACGATGTGTTATTTTACAATTGTGTCATTTTGTTGTTGTACGGATTACTACATACACAGTTGTTGAAGTTATTTCATGATGCAATGTTTGTAGTGTTTTCAACGGCCACATTACTTAATGGTATCTTAATATTCTCACACATAAGAAAGGCAATCTTGCTTTATCAAATCAATAGATATTCCATAAAAAGGCTATGAATTTTGCCATGCAGCACTTACCGTCACTACACCGGGATAAGAAAGGCGAATTAGTTTTCCAAATATGAACATCTCGATGTATTTGGTTCTGACTGCATTCACCACGTATTGGTTCTCGGAATCGATCCAGAAGTTGAGGTCATCGCAGTTGCCGGTGAGCTTGTATCGGCAGGTTCCGTAGAAACCGAGGACTTCCTCGCCTCCAAAAGCTCTGTAGTATTTGTTACCAACTATACTACATAAGCAGGCCGCTGGAAACAGATATTTCGTTATCATCTGATATATATTGAAACTAGCAATGTTTTTACTTACAGGAGTCCGATCGTATAGTAATACCAGTATGAGCGAATCATACCATTATAATGTTAAGTATTCTGATGGGGATTTTTGCGTGTAGTCTGTTGATAATGTTAGATATTCAACTTAACACTTTCTACACTAAATTAAAGCTATATCTTACAAAGCAAAAATAATTGAGGAAGGTCACGGAAATGACTGCAACCCTTGTAAGGTTAAGTTTTAATTTAGTGTAGTGTGTGAAAAGTTTTATCTAATAACATTATTATGTCAAGAAGTTTACATGAAGACCTGGTCCCAGACATTTATCTTTGTTAGATTTATGTATCTGTGATCTTTTAATTTGATTTATTTGATTCGATTAAAAAATTGGTAATATAGTAGACATAGGGCCCGCAATATATACTCACGTTGGTCACAAAGGGGACCACTGAAACCAGGGTTACACACGCATATTGTTCCTAATCCTGTCTGTCGACATTCTCCGTTCACGCATGTTTCACTTCCAAAACAGTCCACAGTATTTCGTTTTTGTCGAGCTATGTGTCTTGCAGAGGTACTAGCAATTACTGCCAGTACTAGTAGAGCCAACCAAGTACCCATGTTCTGAAATAAAACCATTGTGAAGTTACATTTGGTTTACCCTCTGAAATTGTTTATTTGACATATGTTTATGGTGATCATTGGCATGCTGTGCTTGCAGATGATTACTACAAGAGGCACCGAACTACGATTTTTTTTTTTTGGGGGGGGGGCGGGGGGGGGGGGTTGACAAATCGATGCAAAGTTATCTGACTCAAACGTAGAACTAAGTTTCTATAGCAAATAACAAGTAATTTAACTCCGGGTACGTTATACATGCACGTATTTCAATTTGTGCGTAAAATTGATCATCTTATTAAAATGTCGTATATAAATGAGTAAATATCATGCAGGAAATATAACATAATTCATATATTTATATCTCATCCCTACGTAAACGAAGATGAGAAGAGTAGATGCAATGAAAATGGTTTAAATATCATTTTACTGGAGGATGGTCTTGTCACACGTGTAGTCTACTTAGTGTCTAATATCAACATTTAACCACTGGTTTAATTTCATGCAGGTAGCAGATGATTAAGTAACCATGAAGTGGTTGAAATTTTATCAAGGCATTCAAAATTGGAAGAATGGCCCAGCCCCGGTAAAGCATTGTTCTTGTGACGCATAATATTATTTCTAATGAAAGGGAAACCATCTTAATATTTAAAATTATTCTTTGGTTCTTAGCAACATACCGAGTTAGTATGGAATGCCCCAAGTGGTAACAATTTGAGTGCTCTTATTTAATTTACGCTCATATTAATGTGCTATTCATCTTACCGGCATTGACATCAGACTAATAAATCACTGATATATAATAGAGACACTCAAACTTATAATGGCTGACCTAACGTCCCATAATTCGCAGTGACATTTTTCATACATATCAAACCGCCTTTATTTCAATTTTGATTGCACGCACACATATGTATTCTCAGTTCGTCTTTAAGATTGAATTATGGCATCTCCTTAAGCACCGTTGTCACAGAGATATTGACTCATCAAAAGACAATGTGGACGGGCTTAGGATTTTGGGCTTAACCTTATAATTTGACAAATGAGTTTGGTTGATTGCCAATAAATAAAGACTATAGTTAAGCATATTTGAACACAATTTACCTTTAAGATTAAGGACAATTTTCTACTTTTTAGTATAAGTAATTTAATTATATATGCAATTTAGATTGATAATTACTTCATAATATTTTAGTTTAACTTTGGTTCCATGATTGCAGCGTTAAAATGAATTATCATTATTATCATTATATTGGATTTCACTTATTTTAGAATTTTGATCACTCTAACTATTTAATTTTAACGTAAAATTACAACAAATGAGTGAGTAACTGCACCCACTTTTAAAACAAAGCCTTCTTTCAAAAAGCCACAAAGCGAAAGTATTTCAACGCATTTAGATTATTTATCATTTATCACGTACACATGAAAAGTGAACAAAGCATTTAATTAAACTGGACTCCTATGAATTTTTGCAATGGCTTTCTGCGTTTTTCATCTATCTTTTCCACAAAAATTGTTGTTACGATCAATTATTCACCAATACTTTTCATTGGGGTATATTTGCTTAGAAAAGAATAAAAGAAAAGAACTTAGTGTGACTATAAGGCCTCACTAAGTGCACCGCTATATTAAATATGAAAAAAGTTAACTTACCGAACAGACGGTTTTTCCTGTGGTTCAGGCCCTCTGTCTGTGATCATTTAATTACTGGACACTTTATATACCCCCGTATTTAAAATTCATGCATCTGTATTCCTCATCGCGTCAGTGCATACGTTATTGAATTAAATCATACATTGCTTGGGAACCGAACCTTTGGGACTGGGTAGGCAACCTATGCGGTTTCCATGGGTGGAAAAGAGTGAAACATAACAATGACTAATTAAACACTGTTTACAAAGGTGAGGTTTTATTGGACTCTAAGCAGTCAAGTACCAACACCGCCCAGTAGGACAATGCAACCCTTCTTCCTTATGCTTTTTATATGTAAACTTTGATCATGGCCTAATACGGCTATTAACATGCAATGTATTTCGATCGTATTAAATCAATTTGTGAGAATGCAGTGGAAAAGACTATATTTTAAGTTGACGTTGCATTGGATGTGGCTATACCATTAAATTTGTGTTTAGACATTAAATAACACACAGTGAGTACATTAATTTCAGAAATCTAAACCGCACACTCTCCACGTATATGGCAGCGCTATTTTTGATACTAAAACAAATTTACAAACACACATTATCATTTGCATCAATTTTGCAATTTGGCTCGAACCCTCAACCCTTGATGGAGTCCAGAGAGAGATTTTTTCACAAAATATTCACAGATATTTCTCTGGCTTATCCCGCACACATTTCTCCCACATACTCAATTTTGCGCAGAATTGACGTCAGCACTCAGCTGACCTATGATACAGACCAAACTGTTGGACATTACGTCAGCATCTAATTATTTCAAAGGTAAATGCACTTTTAGCATATTATCATTTGAGGATATCCAACATGAAAGTATGGAATGTAGGCAAAAACTGTTCTTTTTTACTGCTGAAAGCTTACAAAATGTATCATCGTGAAACAATGTGCCAGTAATTAACCAAAGGAAAGAAAAGACCATTAAACTGACCCGGAAAAGGATATGTGAAAAAAATACCAATATTCATAATTGGGGGAATAATACCACGTCGGCAATGACTGGAGCTTTTGTCACCAAGTAAAAACTCGAGTTTTTCATTGGTATTACTAGTTTAATTAGCAGAGAGAAGCTCCGGTTAAAGAGTCTTGGAATAATTTCTAATCCCTTTCCCTGCATAGTCTTTTTTAACATTATGCGGTGTAAATACATCGTCCACTAAAATTGCACCTAACATGAATATATTAATTATGTATATGGGTAATATAATCAAAAGTTTTGTCCGCAATGGCACATATGCAAACAAGCTCCACTGACGCAAATACCATAACTTATACTGTCACTGACAGCCGATAAATGTGAGTGCTTGTAAAAGGACCACTGGCCGTTGAACTTAGAAAAAACTTAAAGGGATAATAACTTTTCGTCTGAGATCTATATTTCACAATAGAAATATTGTAAACAACTCAAATAAATATAATATATTCTGTTTTACCACAAAAGCGGCAGTTATGGCTATTATTCTGATATCTGAGCTTGTCATCGGACCACGTGATCTCCATAGATGGCAATACTCTGTAATTATCTCTTAAGAGATTACTAAAAAGTAAGAAAAAAACTAGGGACTAACTTTGAATGTAGAAATTGATTCATTAACCATTGGTAAATATGAAAAAATTGTTATTTACTCCAGGAAAATTCCTTTTTTTTTGGCCAAAACAAAAAGTTATTACCCCTTTAAAACATTACACGTTTATTGAATTTGGGAGCACATACGCCATTTCTAATTTTTACATTATAGTTACAATCAGTATTTTTTTAGAAAATAATTACTTGGCTCATATTCAGCTTAATAGCCTTATTTTCTCTTAGGTTTTTGTCATTTTAATTCAATTTAAATTAATAAATTTAATTAAACTGAATTAATGCATTGACAATGTTTTGACACAAATATTAGATTAACAAATTATCCAGGCGTCCTCACTGGTGTTTTAATTATAATCAACAATTATTCTGTCAGAGTTTTAAATAAAAAAGAACTAACAAGGAACATTATTTTGAAAGGCAATTTTTATCTTCGCACGACTTTATTTTGCACAATGTACATGGTCTTCAACAGCCAAGTGATTTCTTGTATTTTTTCCTTTTTTCACTTCCCGTAAAGAATTTTGACTTAGGACTTTATTTATGAATGATTTAACATGTCTCTTGGATTAAAACACAGTTTACGTGCAAAGAGAGGGAGAGGATCCCGTAAGCAGCCCCTTAAATATTGTATTGACAGAGGGCCCTTCCTCCCACTACATGTTACATGTATACAGCCATGAATTTATACATGTACAGGAATATTCTGGCAAACCCAACAAAGCAGACGTAGGATTCCGGTGGTTCCCATCACATCTGCCACTGGGTACAGACAGTGTCTCACTTTATGTGACCACACAAAAGTTCCGTACTGCATAAACACAATGGCTTTCCCCACCTCTTCTCTTTTTGTGCCCATCTCTTCCTTCTCGAATACTGAGTGTTAAGGGTGTGAATAATTGAATCCACTCTCAAATGAGGATGAATGGTGAAGAAGGGATGTCACCTTGGCGAAGCAATGGGAATACATAGGAAATTTTCAAATTCTTATTTATAATACATTTTGGACGTGCCTGAACTATGTGTTGCTTTTTTGCACTGCACGTTCATTTCAGCGCATCCCGATCTCTCCCACTCATAGTCATATATGTACAATGTATATGCAAATCCGAGCAAACAGGCACATGAAATTATAGATAAGTCAGTGTTTTCTTGATTTCGTGGATTTATGGACAGTAAAATGCCGTGTGCCGTGTGCGTTTCTCACCTAAAAAAATACATTAAACTGGAATCAAATAGTAGTTTCGCACACTGTTGCACTTTATCTCTTTTTCAAGACTCGGCCTGTAATGCATATGGGATATATTGGCCATTAATAACACACGTGGTGTGGCATAATGGATATTGATATGGGGCGGTGCCTTGAATTCATTTAAAAAAGTTATACATATTTCAAAGATACCGCCCTGATTATTATTCAAGTTGGTTAAAAGATGCCATAGAAAACGCTCTCACGTTTTACAACATTTTGTCTTAAAGTGTCATTGCCGAATGTTTACTGTATATATTGTCCGTTTAGACATACGATGTTCATGTAAAAGAACATCAATTATTGATATTAACTTTATTTCAAACTGTCACAGGTGTTAACATTATAATTAAATTTGCATTTGTTAAAATGTTCATTTACCTTTTAACAAACAAAATAAATTCAAATTTAAATTCAATTAAATGTGCTGTTTATTACCTTTTATTTTGTGATATGTCCGTTAAGTAGTGTGATTATTAGGTGACATGAATGTAAAGTAGAATGCTTTACTGTGGTGAAGCATTTAAACCGTGGTTGAGCGGCATAGAACATTTAAAAAGTCGACGGAAATCCCGAGTCCATTTTGACAATCATTTTAAAGATATTTCTTACAGGGGAATGAAAGGGGAAACCGCGGAAAATTTCAGTGGGACGCGTTCAATTCAGCCCGTTTCTCTTGTTAGGGTTTCACGTATGGCTAGTGACTCATGCGAAGACACACACCTTAAAAAACGATTTAAACCCCTTATATTATTTTTTCTGCTCCGTACCAGATGTTGGTATTTCCATCGGAGCTTAGGCAGATGGTCGCTGGTAATAATGGCTGGTCAGTCATTTTAAACAAAATCAACTAGACCTTTTTAAATTACATTGAAGGTCGAATCCAGTGAAGTACTAGAAAATTGCTTATTTCCGCGGGAAAAATCCATAACTGTGGATTCTCAATGGCAGCGTTTCTTGTCAACCCGTTTTTCGTAAATAATATGGTATCTTTTATAGACTGTATAAAGATGCAAAGCAATACTTGCGTATCAATTTTTATAAGAATTTTTTCATGATATGCACTAAAGGGCTGCCATTTATGCTACACGCACCAGAGAATACTAAGCTGTAAAAATATGAAAGACATCTGACACTTGACATGGGTGTCAATCAAGGAAACACTTAATAAGATCAAAAAGATCACATACTCATGAGAGCTAGTAGAATTTAGGGTGGTGGTTTTACTTTGTGAAGTTTAGGGCGTATAAAGACGAACATCTCAAGTGTAAATTTTCATTCTCTTTTATGACAGAGAACCAATTTAAATTGGCGATTTCAAAAGATGTGCACTGTCATCAACATTAAAAATGAGTAATAAAAAACACTTGTCCTAGAATAGATTCAGGTTTATGTAATGATACATGTACCCTGAGTTTGAGGGAAAAATAAGTGATCACAACTTTGAATAACCCTCTCGTACCTTTTTCGGCGGACAGCATCGGTCAGTTGAGAGGTTTTGTCTGTAAGTATCTCAGGGGGCATGTAACAGATGTCACAATTTATTACGCGACCCGTCTTAACACGAAATAACTCTGCTTATTGTAATACAAAAATGAGGCGGCATTTCAAATGTGCTTATCAAATATATCAAACATTACATACATATAAAACATGTGTAACTGTCGTCTTAATTAAATTCGTGTCTTTTTTTAAGGCGCTTTGCATACATTATGCACCAGTGAGATGACGCATGTACGTATCCAGAATCGCTGACTCCCAAATTTTCTTTAAAAAAGGGTCAATAAATTCCACACACTTCAGTCATTTTTGGGTGGACAGGGAATAAAAAAGACAGTGTTGTCGTATCATTTAGGTTGTAGAAATTACACAGGTTTTTTAAATAGCATACTTCAAATATGAGTTTTATTCAATAAGTCACCCACTACTTTTGAGGTTGACAGGGGACCATTTAAGAATGAACATGTCTCTAAATGCAATAGTAGAAATAGAAAAGGTTTGTATTGATAACCATGATTGTGATAGTGAAGATGGTCGCAGGCAATGTTTGCCTTGGTACCATCTTATCATTCTTGTTCACGTAAGAGAATCTCGTTCTGTGTTGTGGAAGCACATTTTAAATAATTTCAAGTTGTAACTCACTTCATACATTACACGGCATTGCTTTTTTTACCAGGAAAAACACACATCACTTAGAGAAGGACTTAACAAACGTTCAAGGTTAAATGGTACG